GAGAGAGAGAGAGAGAGAGAGAGAGAGGAGGAGAGAGAGAGAGAGAGAGAGAGAGAGAGGAGAGAGAGATGAGAGAGAGGAGAGAGAGAGAGAGAGAGAGAGAGAGAGAGAGAGAGAGAGAGAGAGATACCTGGGCAGGAATATTTCATAGCAAAGCCACATTGTTAATGCTGGTAAGACAAGATCGTAATCTGTTCACATAAAAAGTGAACTCACATTAGAAGCTCTCACCACCTGATTTCCCCCTCGTGCACGCGCTACATTGCGTCGTTCCTTCGACAGTGCAAGTATATCCCATCGTTTGTTGCCGATATTGTTTAGTGGCGAGGCGCGCATGCGTTTAGACAGTAAAGTTCACAGCCAAAATCATCGCTCATGTTCCGCCGAGGACTCCGAGGAGGTTTGCAGAGCACCACTGCACGGTATAAATTGCACCGCTTACGGGACTATCAACAGCTGAGGTGTCAGTGACCGCTGCTGATTTCAAGACAGCTGAGGTGCTGCAGTGACTGTAACGGCTAAACGGTACTTGGCCGGCCGTTACAAGCTCCGAGCGGTTTGGCAGGAAGTCTGTGGTTGAAATGTCAGTAGCTGCGACCAGACACTATAATGGCACGCTCGGCGATGGCGACGGGACAAGTGATCAGCGAGCGGATTGGGTTATTTGGATTTTGACTAATTCGGACTTATTTTGGGTAATTTTTAAGAAGCCAAATAACTAGCCCCCACAGTTTCTCGATTCCAAGGCGCCAGATTCCTTTCTGCGGGAGTATTTGAAGAAGCGAATGTGCTCGTAGCGCTTGGCGACTATTTTGAACCTGATAAGCGTATCAGAGTGATGGTGAAGGCCGAAAGTCAATGACGCATCATGTCGTTATTTAAGCTGGGACGGACTGCGAGACAGCAGCGGCCAGATAAGAAAAACGGCAACTGCTCTTCACATTTCGTGTGCGTTCTTTTGGTGATGCAAAGTAAATGAATGTCTGAAACAGGAAAGACCTAAATCCATCCGCTTTCCTGGAACGCCCTGTATCCAGTACGGTGGGATTGCCACCCGACGAGAGGGCCGAACATCCCTCAGCGTGTCAACAAGATTACCATACGTGGCGAGAGGGCGTGCAACAGCCGGTGGTGACTTGGAGGGAATCACGCCTTTGGGAGGGTATAAACCACTTGCAGTTGCGACCACGTCAGGGAGAGGGACGTGCGCCAGTCAGCAGCGGCGCAAAAATCACCATGCTCTGACCAAGGTGTAAGGGAACAGCTGTTCGCCGCTCTGAACTTACCGTCACTGAGTGGAGTGGGGTGGGAGGGGATTTATGTTTGCTACTTAGCCACCGCAGTGCTTGATGAGTTTGTTACACACCACTTAGCCTATAACGCTCAGTATAGCGCTGTTCACCATTATAAATTACGAGACTGGATCACTTGGCATCCTCCTTTCGCTGCAAGGAGCTCACAGCGTTCAGCGATGATACATGATAGGTCGAAACACAGCAGACAGCCACGCGAGTGTCACGCCTCTTGGCTGTCCTGAGGAGCGCTTGGCGTCGTGCGATCCGTTTCCGGGCGCAAGCAGGAGACAAATGAACAGCTGCTGGTGCTGGCCCAACCGGGAGATTAATGAGCTATCAGTATCAGTGACTCCCGAGACAGCGAGCCGCGCCGCGCTCAGCCGTGAACACGGCGCACCGATGGCGTAAGCGCGACACTGTCGCCAAGTGGCGCATTGACAATCCCGAAACCGGGGTCATGGGCTCTGGGGAAGGTTTTTTTTAATCCATGAAGCACCCTTAACGAGGCTCTATGTGGTATAAACGCGCGCTCGGGTGGTCGGTTGAATACGACGCGCTCGAGTGAGGTTCATTTGATTTCCCTGAGACCCCAAAAACTAAGGGGGCTAAAAGCACAAAATTTACGCGACCAGTAGGTCTGCACTTGAACTCGCTTGTGTCAAAGTTGTCGGCCCCTAGGTTGTTGTGTTTGGATCAAATGACGTCAAACAAGGTCAGGGCCGGCATGCTCCACAAACCAGTGTTTTTCGGGGTTATTTTAGGCCAGTGATCTCCACTGACCTTCATACACACGGCAACAAGCAAACTTCAAACATTGCAGTATAGTCCAGCTTGTAAATCGGGATGTAACCAAACGGTATTGCTGTGATACGGCATTTAATTGCCAAAATTATCTACTTTAAGTAGGCTTTGAAAGTCGTTGACTACCCTGCGTTAGTTATTCCACAAAAATCACTTTCAAACACGCGGACATAATTCAAAACACAGCAGCATAGTCGAACCAGTGAAACGGGATGTCACCAAGCGACGACGCTGTAACGCGGCATTGCATTGGCGCAAAATGATCACTGTAGTCAACGCGCCTAAATAATTTTCAAATATCACATTTGTGATATGCCATTACACAGCTACCTTATACTCTTTCGGAA